CGCTGCGATGAAATCGCGTGAACTCTGTCTTGGGCCTTAGGCTCTGTACACTATGCTAGTTGCGCATATGACGACTCATTTACCCTGTAGCTATGTGCGGCAAGTCTTTTCGGGTAGGTAAGTTCCGCACTCCAAAATTTGTAACCAGGTGATAAAAATCTGTGCATGTTTAGAACATAGCACAAATCACTTGCACTAAATGTTTCCATTCTCTATAGAATACGCGTCGGCGTCGCATTTTCTGGAAGGCGACAGAGGTACTGAAACACTTGGTCTTCAACCATGTAGATTACAATCTTTCAAACTAAAAATCAGATAGATCCGCACAAGAGGATTTACGCAGCGGTTTCGACGAAACTTTCGACTTGGCTTGATCCAAAAAGTGCGTAAGTCTTTGAAAACAATGGCTACTTCCATGCTCGTCAGTCCACCCACTCACAAAAAATTTGATTGCCAACCATATTCTCCAAAAAAGATCTGCGATAATCATTGTTGCTAGGTGTATGGATTGCAATGGTGAAAGCTGCACAACATCGACAACCTTCATATAACCTGACATCGGGAAATTTATATACCCCTATAAAAAATGCGGCGAACCCGTTGTAGTTGAACTTACCCTGTAAATAGCTTCTGCAGCAAGCAAAACATCCTTGCGAAGTGTAGGAGTCCTTGAGTGGGTGCAGTGCGACTCAGCCATCAACTGTAGATCGTACATGAGAGCAAACATGCTCGGATAGCCAACCTACACTTAATCAAATTGCTTATGAAGACAACAAATAGGCAATGTGTGCGCCATACCTCAACCTCATCGCTGTCTAAAGTGACCATATCAAAGCCGGCTCTGTTCAGCAGGCTTCCAATATCCTGCGGTTTTATGAACGGAGAGACATGTGAACCGACTCCACCCAACCGCTCCATCTACATGAAAAAAAAAGAATTTATAAAGCATCACTTCATGAAGATAAGCCCACTTCGGCAAGCTGTAATGAGCATCTAAGCTCGTGCAGTGTGTCTTCCGCTAACATCGCACCGATAAACGGACAATCAGGCTTCAGAATATCGTAACAGCGGCCAAACCTGGATGAGAAGTCAAAACTATAGTTTTGATGGCCCTAATGAAATTGTACTCGATATAGAAATTAACGGTTGTTACAAGAGATGTACCTTTTTGGAAATCTTATTAGTTTTAATCTGGCTGAATAGGATCAGCTAGCAGCAGTGGCGGTCCCAGGATTTCCTTCCGGGAGTTCGAAAGTTTTTTCGGGATGCTTCCCAAAATTTTTGCGGCCCATGACCCCAAAATATCAAAAAAAGGGAGCGTGGCGGCAGCCACAACTCCGAAAAAAGTTTTTCACAGGGCTAATTCGAATTTTTAGAAATTTCAAAAAAATTTTAAAATTATTCACAAGCATAAACAAGTCGTTTGCACATTTTCATAACCCAT